GTAAGTAAATGCTTAATTGCCGCACCTTTACCATTAACGATAATTTTTCGCTACTTCATTCAGTAATGCGCGCAATTAGGTTGGCAGATGATATTCGTAAACGCTGTCAGTAATGTTGACCAGCCTATCTCTCTGCCATTCAGCAATGGATAAAAAATTTCCGCCGCTGTTTTTTACTACCGCAGCTAAGTAGTTATTACCTTGCCGTCGATTGACTCAGCAGCCAGACATGAGTTAACTGCGCGCCAATAACTAATGCTTTTCGATTATTGACGGACACATCGGCGTTTCCTCTGGAAACATAATAAGCAGAGGTCATGCGGTTTTCAGCCGAGGTCATGCGGTTTTCAATTTACGCTTTGCTTTGTTAGCGGGCTAGGAGGGCCTAAGAATATTATCCGGTCACTCGACGGATGCAGCAAGGATACGTTAATAAGGGATTTGGCCCGGTACGCTTATAGTACCAAATTCGGGTACATACACGAGAACTTTCGCTGTCGCGCACTCCTAAACACTTTTTTGCATTGCTTTATGACATTTTATAGCCAAAGGATTTATATACACAGACGTGAAATCCGTTTGAGCGCGCAATATCCGATTCGGGAGTTATTAATAAAATAAATTCCAAAAGTTTAAACGCGCGGAGGTGTACCAAAAGTCTTATTATGAACCGATGCCCTTCAAATTTTGCACAAAAAGGCACATTACTATGAACATCGTTTTGGTATCGAACCAGCTTTCTACCATTTTTGTCAAATTTTACTTAATTTTTTAAATTTTTGAAATTCATTTTAAAATTTGAAAAAAATGGTAGAAAGCTGGTTGGTACCAAAACGATCTTCATAGTAATGTGCGTTTTCGTGCAAAATTTGAAGAGCATCGGTTCATAATAAGACTTTTGGTACACCTCCGCGCGTTTAAACTTTTGGAATTTTATTTCATTAATAACTCCCGAACCGGATACCCGGCAACTTACCTTAGGCCATCTAGCCCGCTAATAAGGCAAAGGTATCTTAAACGTATCTAAACGTATCTTAACGGCAACTTAACGTTAAGGGTGTACGTGACGTTAACGTTATGTGCTATTTTGTATTGCGTTAGCGACGAAGTGGGTAAACTACTGTATCTGTAGTACAAAGAAACCAAGATACGGGAAGAAAGCTTCGGAAAATAATATTATGAAAAGGTCAATACTAATTGTGTGGCATCCAGTTCCGGGCGAAAAGTCGGGTTCTATGCGCTAAAACAACTGCAGTATACAGCCAAAATTTCGTAAATTTAAGCATCAGTACAGTAATCACAGAGGAATAAGCAGTTACTAAAGCGAATTTTACTTAATTCATCAACGCTAAATAAGAAATTAGTCATTGCAGCTCGTAAAACGTGGGTGATCAAGGTTATTAAACTATACTCGATGTCGTTAATCGCGCACAGTAGAAAGGAGCACATTCTAAGGAAAAATCGAAATACAGATAGTACATACAGATCGTACATAGTGTACAAGCTTGTCCGGTAATTTCTGACGATTCAGTACAGCGATTTACACAAATTTGCGTGTTACGCCAAACTTCACACTACGGCGCGCCACGCCACACTTTTTAAACACGTAACTTGCCTGTGGCTGGCTGGTGGCTTCGTTCACGCCATATAAGTTAATAAGAATAATAGTAACTGCCTGGCAGAAGGTGGCTAGAAAATGGTCGGTGCAGTAAGAGACAATCTGACTGCGGAGCGCACTTAAGGAGTTTGATAAACGTAGTGAAGTGGCCATCGTTATAAGCGCAAAATTCGCGCTAGCTGTACCTTTACGTAGGAAATTACCGGACAAGCTTGTACAAGTACGTCATAGTCTGCTACTGTCTATAAAATTATTAATGCAGACATAAATGTAACAATATCGCTTGTGCCAGGAAAAACAATTACAACAACCGCCAAACGTGAATTGCAAGCGTGCATTCCAACTGGAACGCACGTTTTCAGTTCACGGAATCATGGCATTGGCAAATTTCATAATTCTTTACAGCCAACGCAGTGACTGTGCGAACAATGATGAATATTTCCTGTTTACGCGAAGAAAATCTCCATATAACTGACGACTGCACCGGAACTGTCCATTACAAATTTCACGTGCGACAACCGCGACTTTTTTCTCTGCAGCGTTCGTACCCCGGCATTATATTCCCGGAAAGCGGCAACAGTTCCTTCCGGGATTCGGAATATTATTTGCCAAAATGCGTTTCTTCCCGCTCCTGACCGTTGTTATCCCGTTGGTCATCCTGGCGCACCACACGGCCACCGCCCAATGGTGGCGGCCGACCACAGCCAAACCGCGGACGGTGTGTGCCTGGCGCGGTAAAACGCCATACTGCCACTGGGAATCGTACTGCCGGCCGGGCGAGTGGGAGGCGGAGACCAGCGAAGAGCAGGACGAACGGGATCGCCAAGACGGCTACATCGACGGCTGGTGCCGGATAGGTTTCCGCCGGAAGTGTTGTAAAACGATTATCCCGCCGACGCCGCCCCCCAAGGTATACACGCCTCACTGCCGCGTCACGGGGCGGCCGCAATGTACGACGGAGGAGTGCCGGCCGGATGAAGTGGAGCGCGGAAACAACAACGACAAATGCACAACACCAGGCACCAAGCGCCTCATCTGCTGCGAGCGCAAGCATATGCTGTCCGTCAAGGCCGATCGCGAGCTGCAAGTGTGGAGGGACAAGTTGAACTCGCTCCCAATTTACCCCAATTGTGGCCCGAAATTATGCGCCTCCACAACCGCGCTTCCCTAGTTTATATATATATATATATGTCTCCTTTTTGATATTTATTTTTCATTTTACACATTTTATTTTTTCTATATAGATATTTTATATAGGGATTGTATAGGGATTGTTATATAATTAACTAAGTTTCATAATTTTAATTGATTTTTTATGGATATTCTCTAGACGGAAGATCACAGCTATCGAGTGTGGTCTGCAAGCGTGCATTGTTTTTCATTGCACTGATTGGGTAATTAAAAAAATCCTTGTGCGGATATTGTTTACCCAGCTCTCTAAACCAGACAATTATTATATGTCTTGTGTGCTTTACCATACTTCAGATGTGCATTAAATTCAGGCGCAAAATTAACCCGTTTGGTATAAGGCTATACGTAGTTGTTCTGGATTTTGTTGATTTACACGCAGGGTTGTTTTTCCATTTAATCATTACAGACAGTATTCAAAATTTAACGGTCGTATTTGTACCCACTCAACCGGCACTAAGAGTAAGCACACGATAATGTAGTCGTATACTTTGTACACTTAATAATGCGTAATAATAATAATTGTAATAGCTACAATAATTCATAATATAGCGTCTAAGCACAAAATAGCACAAAGTTATTTATACAGTGTATGGAAGCGCAAGTTTCCTTTAAGGCCATTTTAAATTATTTAACTGGGCGCAGCCGTTCAATTCATTATGGTGTATAACGTGGGCCTCTGTGTGCAGCAAGTACAGAGTAGAAACGGTTAAATAACACAAAAATGGCAAATTCTACATATTCGAATAATTTAATGTTGAGTCAGATTAACTGCACACAAGAATACTTTGTCGATTCAATATCAGAAATTAACGAAATATATACCATATTTCAGTTACTGGAGTATTCTGGACTCCCGCACATCGATGGACGTGATGTGGTCTCGTGACTATATTGTTTGCAGTCGAAAAATGTGGAGTACAATTCGTATCCTTTGATTTTATGAGCCAGTCATGGATGCATCATACATGTACAGATAATGTACGGTACGCTCTTCGATTAACATATGTAACAATGTTGCAACGTGTCGAGATTCACAATAAATTATTGTCAACGAAGAAACTGAAAATGTGCATTCGAAATTCCGTACAAAAAACTCGGTGATTGTATTTTTGCACACAATGCACACGAATATTTTGATGTTTATACGGAGAAAAGCTTCATGTACTAGACGCATATATCGTATACAGGAATTCTCTGCTGTATATTTAACGCGCAGCAGATACGCCGTTCTTCTCTGCAGTTGTAGTGCTACGAAATTTGCTGTACTGTTTTTCTGCGCATACGAGATTCTAAGGGAAAATGCGTTGCATCCCACTCGCGGTCTTCCTTCTCCCGCTGCTCTTCCTGACGCTACACACGGTCACCGCTAACTGGCGCCATCTTAATGGCTATTGGCAGTGGATTACGCCCGGACCGAATTTGAAAATGCGGACGGAGTGTACGTGGCGCGGTAAGGCGCCCCTGTGCGCCCTGGAATCGGCCTGCATCGGGGAGGAAATGCAGCACGATACCAGCGAAGCGGAGGACCGCGCGGATCGGGCCAAAGGCTTCACAGCCGGCGTGTGCACCCTGGGTTTCCGCCGGAAGTGCTGTGTGCAGATCGAACCGAACAAGGGCTTCCGCGAGCCGGAGCGCAAATGTCGTGTCCACGGCCGTTTCCCGCACTGTACGACGGAGGAGTGCCGGGCGGATGAGAAGGAGACCGACCGCATGTTCCATCGCTGCCGCACACCGGGTAGCTACCGGATCATCTGCTGTCTGAAGAAATATCTGTCCTAGTGTGCTCCGCGGATAAACGCGCAGCTGTACGCAAATTTATTGTGCAAGATGAATTATTAATGACATTTATAGCGTTTAGTGCGAATGTTGTTGATTTATTTAGGATTATTATATTGATATTTTGGAGGTTATTTCATACGTTTTGCAAAAAAAATGCCATGTCGAGAAGTTTTCGCGGTTTAAGGCTAAGACATCCGGGCTTTGTTCGTTCATGTCGGCTGAGTGCTTTTTTATTGGTGAAAAAAAACATAAAATAATCGATCCAAATCATCTGTTTTATTGGAATAAAAAATGGATAAGATTAGTCTCGAAAACGGTTACAGCAACATGTAATCGCTACATGTGTCCACAGAGGATTTCACAATTTTTAAGGACTATCTTCATCCATAAACTACTATTAAGTAAACTTGCGCGATGTAATCGTATATTAATTACTTCTAATGCATTTGTGTATGATGCGCGACAACAGTGCGGCCACGGCGAAGACACTGACACAGTTAATCAGTGGTGATCGGGTAACCATAAGCAGAAATATGAAAACATCATACCCGTCCGCTGGTGGGTGAATTAAATTGAAAAAGAACATTTATCTTCATATTGTACGAAAAATATATTTTACATACTGTATATTGCTAATTCGTCATAAACACATTAGTGGCGGTCCGGTGTCGCCGGGTTTGCTGTCGAGCATTAAGGATGTTCACCAGAATGTGTAACCACCGCCACCGCTGCCTTTAAAAAAGTCCGCTTGCTGCTTCTGTGTGACGGTGACGTTTCCACCCTGGACCGCCGCGATCTGCGCGGCATTCGGCATACAACCCGGTGGAGGCGGCTGCATATTAAAGGCGAAGAAATTAATAGTCATAACTATTGCACACTACTTTCTACAGTACAGATAAACCGTTTTCCGTAATATTGTAACAGTTTTTTACTGTGCATACATCCAGAAATTGTGGAAGTTGACTTTCCTGATTCATCGATAACCTTACCGGAACTGAAGCGCTTGTACTGCCATCAAACCGGGCGCCGCCGTCAAATCCGCCATGGTGTATAATATGGGCCTGTGGCTGCATAGAATACAAACGCATCCATGTAATTCGATGTCAATGCATCAGTTACAGTTCACAGTTTACATACACATAGATAAATACCGTTTTACAAAAATTATTAAATGCCGTTTTCAGTTACTCTGCTGGTGTATTGTTCATAAGATTCACTACATTACACTGATAATGAAACGATACGCACGAATCAAATTTCACTGCATACTGTACTAACACCACGAAATTCACTCAGTAATTTTACCACTTTCGATTAATAACAGGTAGAATGAGTATTTATTCGTTATATCAATTATATGTAATTATATGTACTGTATATCGGCATATGTAAAAATTATAAGCAGTAATTTGATTATCACCGCCATTAAAATTAATGTTGCTGTGTTTATATACGTACGTATATAGATATTGTATAATATCAAAGCTCTATGCATATGTATTAATACGACAGTAGTCGCCGTAACTGACATATGTGCAGTACAGGTAAGTACGTAGTGTTATAAATGTACGTACCCGGAAGTACTGCGGCTGTTGTGGTGTGACGTATCCATGCTGCGGCATGTGGGTGGCCGGAATCTGGGGGTAATACTGCTGGTATCCCGGGACCGTGGCACTGGGAGTGTAGGGCGGCGGAGCACCAGCCACACTGGACTGCGGCATGAAGCCCCCGGCCTGGGGCGGATACGGCATGGGCGCCGTTCCCGCCTGTGGCGGCATGGGATACTGGTAGCCCATGGATTGCGGGGGATATGGCGCGCCGCCCTTTTCGGGATACTGAGCCATGGTTAATTTTTTTTTATAAAATGTGGTTCTTCGTCGACGGTGAACACAGTATATTAAAGGGTATGTACAGCACGACACATTCACGGCCAAGGTTAGCGTGTGGAGTATTTATAGCGTGTTGCTTGACTGCAGTACGCATGAGCGTGCTTAAAATGAGTAAATGTTTATCAGGTGGTTAGCACCGTTTGTGATGTTGTTCGATAAGATATGGACTGTGTTTGCTTAATTGTTCTCCGTTCTCGTATATTTATGAAAGCTGGTGAAATGTCGTCAGTTGCTAGTATGCGAAGTACAAAATGTCGTGCATACCGGAAAGAATTAAAGAAAAATATCATATCACAGGAGCACCGTACGTAATAAACTATCAGTACGAGTAGCGAAGTGCAGTTTTTTGAAGAACAGGTTTGTGACACAGTTTTGTATCCTGCAGTAAGGTCCGACATCCTATCTCCACATCTTAAAAATGTCAAATTATTCAAATTTCCGGAGACCAGATTCATCGATGAATTTGTTGATGATTCGTAATGTGCATGTCTGCATCAGTACGGTATACGTATCTGTACTGTTCTGGTGCCTCTGCATTTACAAAACAAATCACCAACAAACTGTTACTCCGGTTTTGCATGGGATTTATAATCACAGCCGCAATATAGAAAAATAGCACTATGTACAAAAATTAACATAAAATCTATGCCAGCAAAAAGCTACCTGTACAGCATACCGCTGACGTTCTTAAATCCGGTTCTAATACATATTTACAGTTTGGTAATTTGCTAACCATAACAAAACTAATGATAACTTAATCAAAAATGTGGTGGTAGCCAAATGTTAAATGTAGTAAACATTTATTCTAATAAACATGTCAACATAAAGCCGGCTGCTCAGAGTCCTTGGTTGGCCGGACTGCGCGCTTCCTCCACAATACAGGGATGGGTGTGCTCAACTCCCGGAAACTCAGGTAGAAGAATACGGAATCCAGTAGAACAGCGTCGTCGATATACTGCGAAACGTGTCGAGTTTGGTGGGCGAGATAGAACCGATAACGATGTAATAGACCATAACGGGAATTCAGCAAATCGTTGCACACAGCGTCAGCAATGTCAGCAGAACGAACGGCTGCCGCGATTGACCTTTGGAACCCGATGCTTTGTTTGTCGAGTTCTCGCTAGTTCCCGTCTCGCTGCGCTACTCGCTGCGCCTTAGTAAACTGTTTCTTTTCTGAATGGCCTTCCACAGCAGTACGGGACAACACGCTGGAATCAAAATTTTAGGCATGGAATACACCGCCACGGGGATGAACATGTATCTAAGTTTGAAAAGTTGAAATCATTCTTTCAGGACTCTGGATTTTGAACGTCCCGGCGAAATCGAATGAGACTTCGCTTGTTTGAAAAAAAAATTGAATTGTAGAAAAAAAACATCGTTCATCAGCCGCTGTGGTATTTTTAAACGATACGTTGTCGTTAAAATATTTATTTTAAAGTCCTGAAGACAGATTATTGTGCTGCAGCACGCGCCACGATGTACACGTCAAAGGGCGTGCGCTGCTTTTTTCCGTGCAGGACCATGAGCAGGACTGCTGTGTTGAAAGAAGAGGGAGAAAACGGTGGTACTGATAAGTCAGATGGATGGGAAGTTCGCAGTTGCACCTGTTGACGGACATGGCTGTCGCGTTGACCTCATTAACCGTAATATTTACAGAAGACTTCTCTGGCTTCTGAATGTGAAGTTATGCAAAGGCGAAACCGGAACTGAAGATAGTTTCACAGGGAAACTAAGATAGAAAAATCACCGGTGATCAAACAATCAACCAGCGTCAGTTTAAATATCAATCAGAAAAACTAGCGATTCATTTTCGTCTTCGCGAACATCCTTTTAACCGAACCAGCGTCGATTTAAGTGAGCCGTTTTCACCCGGTGGCTGCGGTTACGTTTCATCCGTCCGTCGTGTTGTGGTTGAATTTCGGCGATTATACAAGTCATACAACATAAAATGTTATATGACTCGTATAACCGCCAAAATGGGTGTCGTTAAACAAATGTGAACACGTCAACACTGCCTGTTACGACATTACCAGGTTGTCTTTCATGCTATTGCTGCACGGAGACTCGCTCCCGCAGAGTTTGTACTTTGAAGGTTTTAATTAGGGCATTTTCTTCTTTCCGAACCTTGTATAGGTGCACCCTAAGCTTTGTAATTCACAACACGGAGGCACCCTGGTCACCTAGTAGGATTCGCAGAAACCAGATAATGTATTCGAATCTCGAACCGTAAAGGAAACGACATGGCTGCTACAAATATTGTAATTCTGTTCGGTAAAATTTGAAAGACGTTGGTTTCTTGTGGTGTTCTTTATTGTACGTAATATTAGTATTGCCTTGCCTCTGTGAACCCTGTATGCCGTTATGAAAATAATAATTTTACTTTTGTACAGCACATTCGGTTCGCAGAACGTGACTGGAAAAAGTTCAAACGCAAACCGTCGCTCAGCTTGCAGCTGGCATTCTCGTTTAGAACCGCACCTCGACCGTTGAGTATTTTACATAAAGGCGTGGACGTGTTAGAAACGCTCTGTACTGTCACCCTGTGGATACAGCGTACGGCGTATCGCGTGTCACATATCACTGAAAAGTTTCCAACTTCCAAGTACTGTAGCTTAACAAAATCATGATAACTGCGTTCAGTCCTGCTTTCCTAATTGTAAAATGTACTGCTTTACACAATCAGGGACTTTCCACTGTTGTAAAGATCTTATACTTCACGACATCCATTCATAATCGATTACTACATAAAAAGTATCAAAATACAATGAATTTTACAAATAGTTTTGTAATGATACGGTGTCGCAATGGAGCGCTTCGTCGGTATCTCTTGCCGCAATAAACGCGGTGACATTGATCGTTAACGGGTGCGTGCTAATCCTCTTCGTTGCCCATTCCAAACTGCGCACTTCGTTCTCTACGTATCTCATCAATCTGCTGGGCGTCAGTATCGTGGTAACCGTTGGCGATCCTATGCGTCTTGTGGAAAGGATACAAACAAGTCGCTGCTTCAGTTCGGCGCTGGGCGCTGACATTTCCGTTTAACTATCTCACATATCACTCTGCCGGAATGGCCGTCATGATATGTTTCTTATCGCTAGGATACTGTCATGTACTCGTTATGCCATTTCTGATTAAGGACTTTTTATTCTACCGTCCACCCGTCGGTACAGATCGAGTGTGCGATGTCACATATGAAGCACAGCCCATTATGGCACAGTTTGGAGATGTGGGTGTATTTGGTACCGGTTTTTCTCATTTTGGCGTTTTATCCGTATTTATTCTGGAAACGAAAATCAACGGCGAGCCTGACCTCGAATGTCGTCAGCCGAACCCCAAAAGCGGCGCAAGAAAATCGGCGGGCTTTCATTGTTATGACCGCCTTGACAGTCTGTATTGTGCTATGTTGGACGCCAGCGAAGATTTATGGGATAATGACAACATTTTTCGAAAGTTATTCCCGCACTCTGGCAATAACTGCCGATTTTATTCTTCTAACGCAACGAGAAATCGATCCGGTAATTTTTGTCATGACACTAAAAGATCTCCGAGCAGCTGCTAAATCCAGTATGTTGTAATGCATTCCATGACAGTGGATCATTTACTGAAAATGGCGCGGTAACTTGTAAGGTTACCGTTTATGGATATCCTGTTGGAATTCGCTGTATTTGACACCTTTTTCCTAGCAATGAGCTCCTTTCTCGTCGAAACTTGCCGTAATGGCTCGACTTCTGAATTTTATCCCTTAAAACTATAATTTTGGGCGTATTCCGCTCCCGCCACATTTTAATGCGTCAAGCGCAATCAAGTATCTATAACATTATGATGTGCACGTACATGAGAGTCAGTGACACCTGCGCAAAAACGGGTTTTCTATATTAAAGACTCAAAAAAGTGGTTTTGAAGTGTAGCCATAGAAATTCCGTCAAAGATTTTGCGTTTTAAATTTGTGTAAACTTTATTAGCTTTTCAACATCGTTTGTGAAGTTCTTTGATAAGATAAGTAGTGTTTGTTCAATTGTTCTACTCTGTATTTACGTTGAAGACAGCCGGGAAAATGGCGTCAATAATCGGTACGGAATACTGTACCATCTTTTTTCCTTGCAATAAAATCTGACATTATTTCTTCATTTCTGAAACTGAAAAATTGCGAAGTAATATTAAGAGCAAAAGGAGCCGAATTTAAGGACAAATTTTGATGGCAGTTTATTGGTATGCGTTGGGCAGATTTTCAATAGATTTTCTGGGAATAATTAGGAAGGAAGTACAACAAGTACATAAAAAGATTTTACACAGTTTCCGCATCGAGCAGAAAACAGCAACAGTACTTAAAAATTCAGTAATAACCATTGAACTCTGCTTATAGGCACGCCAATTGCTTTCTAAAAACGCTATGTAAACACTTGCTTAAACTGGCGGTGTGGGAGAACCCTTCCGCCAGTAACTGGCGGCCAGTTACACCTTTTACAAGCTGAGATAGCTCCTTTATTATTTGGTAATTTAGTAACGGGATATGTTGAACTCAATAAACTGGCTGCTCGATGTTGATCCTTGGCCGGACTGCGCGCTTCTTCCACAATACAGCGAAGGGCGCGCTTAAGCTGCGGAAACTCAGGCAGAAAAACACGGGATCCAGCAGCACCCGCAGACCGAACAGCGTCGTCGCTATGCGGTGAAACGTGTCCAGTTTGATGGGCGAGATATAACCGATCATAATGTAATAGACCATACTGGGGATCCAGCAAATCGTTACACACAACGTCATGAGTGTCAGCAGGATGAACGGGCGTGATTGACCTTTGGAACCCGATGCTTTGTCCGTGGAGTTTTCGCTGGTTCCAGTCGCACTACGCCAGCCTATGCGCCTTGTCAGATTGTTTGTTCTCCGTATGGTCTTCCACAGCAGTACGGGATAGCACGCGGGAATTAAGAGTTTCGGCACGGAATACAACACCACGGTGATGAACATGTACCTAAAGTAAAAATTAGATTTTCAAGATTTTAAATTCAAGCTCGAAATCCCAGTTCTGTAAAACTTTACCCGGAAAAAAAAAATAATTTTCAAATCCAGGTAATAAAGTCTGACAGAATTACTTATTATTAAGCATATGATTGCTGAATGTCATAAATGTATGGAAAATCATTTTACCAGCCATGCTGTGCTTCCATGTTAATCCTGCATCCGTGATTGACCGGCATTCGGTACAGCGCGGCGTCGACAATAATGCCGGGTAGGAGCACAGTGTGAAGATAAATTATCGTACCACTGCCCAGCAATGTGGCGACAGTGAAGGTGTGGCGTTGTTTGTATGTGACTGGCCAGAAGAGCGCCCATCCCCGGCTGACGCTGATGAGCAGATGCATGTGCACTGTAACGGCACTGATAACATAAGTGTTGTACAGGCTCAAAGTGCAGACCGCTTCTCCGGCCCACGAGAAACCATACTGGGCAGTAAGAATTTCTAATGGATGATTGATGGCAGTATACAGGATATTGCTCCCAAATAGCGTCACAATGTATACGTCAAACGGCGTGCGCTGCTTTTTTCCATGGAGTACCATGAGCAAAACTGTCGTGTTCAAGAAGAGAGAAAGGACTGTTGCACTAATCAACCCGATGGACGGGGAATTTACAGTCGTGCTGTTTACGGTCCTCAACGTAGAGTTCCCCGAATACATCGACAAATTCACAAGATCAGCCATTGCTTTCTTGAAATAATAAAATTTCTTATAAAACGGAGTTTTGAAAAGTCAACCGTTGCGTTGCATTGCGTTGCATTGCGTTGCGTTGCGTTGCATCAACTATGAAAACAAACAGCGCCGGTTTATATACGCATCAGAATATGGACGATTCTTCTTCTTAAAATAAGCTTTTAACTGCGCCATTCCCATTCTATGCCTGCGGTTGCATTCCATCAAGTCCGTCGCATTGAGATCACATTTCGGCGATTGAAAGATGTGCATAATATGTAGATCATAGTGCGCTGCTTTGTAATCTACCGCGTATTATGCAACTGAATCTAGTCAAAAGAGAAATTGCAAACCATATTCAGAACGGTTTACAGACATGCACAAAAGCACAAATTTTTGGGATGGGCATATGTTTGCCAGCGGCTATTGTAGACAACTGCAGATGCCGATGTTATTGGCTCATGCTGGCGTATTGTACTCTGTATAATGTATAATGCATTTTGAATGTTCTGAATATTTCTATACGGCCTGTTATGACATTATCCAGCACAGTACTCAAGGGACTTTCTTGGATTTCTTACAGTGAGTACGGTAATGCATGGTTCCCCTGAGTGACCCCTTGTGTACGGTATTGCATTATCAGTTTCCTCGCCAGGCAGTCATTCATATTACTGACATCCAATTCCGCAGATTTTGTATGGTAAAGCCTTTAATTAGAGTATTTTTGTCAAAACCTAGGCGTTCTACGCTAGAAATTCGCGGCAGTGACCCACCCTAGTTTGTATTCAAAAGCACCGGACAATATCGCACAAAGTAGCAAGGAAATGACACGGCGCTACACACCCTGTAATCCCACTCGTTTGGACTAGGGATTGCGCTGCTCCTTCAAGATCTTCTTTCATTTACACAGTACTTCCCTGCCTTTTGTATCCAGGTGCTTTGTGTACACTGTTCGTTTTTTCGCTTTCACCCTTGTTTTCACGAGCACGACGAGAGAAATCTTAACATCCGGAAATTTAGGCCCAGTATGCATACAGTATTGTTATGGTGCGGAAAAGGAATCGTAAGTTTGCTCTCGTCGTGCTCGTGAAAAAAAGGTAGAAAGCGAAAAATTTCTGGATGCTACGTCCATGAACTAATTACGGAAACAAATAACTAACATTTTGTGCGCTACTTACTGGAAACATCAGGAATTGTTTTACGAAATATTTACACAACTTGGATTTGAAGTAGGTTGAAAGCAAACAAATGTGACGGAGATGAAGTTAAGCATACTTCATACTTTAGTACAGAAGTAACAACCAAACCGTTCCGCAAATGCCAGTAAGCATTAAACTGAGTTACAGACTGTGAGTAATTGGTAGTGGCGGTCATAAGGTTCGGTCATAAGGTTTTGCACGGAGCGTAGTGCACGGAAAAGGCAGCGCCAAAGGTTGTGAGCCGAGTGAATGGTTGCGAAAGGTTTGAACGAAGTTAGGCACCAAGTTTTGTGCAGCACACCCGACACGGCTAGAGTTCAGGCTCGAAAAGTTCAGACACAAACCGTTGCTCAACTGACTATGCAATCAGCAATAGTCTCGTTTCCCATCATGCTTTTGCCTCTCGATTCGTAGTGCGTTCGTCTGACCGTTGAATAAATAAATGCATGAACGTTGTAGCAAAGCTCATAAATGTTGTCCTTTTAATATAGCGCACAGTGTTTTGTTGTAACGTATCGCTCCGAGCTTGTTGAGCAATAAAAGTTTCTGACTGCATTCACCATTCTTTCCTATCCACAGTACTACCAAATCTTTTGGGAGCGATTTCATTGATCAAAAGATTTTATTTTGCAGCTTACTAGATCGAAATTTAAAACATGAATTTTACAAACACTTTTTGTAGTATTACTGCATCGCAACAGAGTGTTCTGGCTGCCATAAGCACCATGACCTTTAAACTGCGCACCTCACTCTCTTTATATCTCATTAGTCGGCTTTGCGTGAACATCGCTGTAACCGTTGGCGACGGAAAAGAGTGCACCAAATTTTGTACAGTGCTATAATAAAAACAGCGTTTCGATAATATGTGCCCAGATTCTACTCAGACTGCTGTGAAGACGAACCTACGAAAACCTATCAACGACCTTTAAAATGTTGAACGCAATTTTTATCGGAACATGGTTTTTAGAAAAAGCAGTACCGGTGTTATATAAGAAGCAGCGGTATATAATGAAACTGGTTAAAAGCAGTGCTTGTCGGCGAAGGCTAAAACGGATCATGTTTTGATCTACTCGCCTTTGAGAAGGTCTGAGATTAGGGTCGCTACATTTCGTCGGCGGAAATGCTTCGAGAGAAGCAGTCTTCGAGACGACCAGAAATTCATTATCACGCAACCACATGGTAAGCGATTGGCCGTTTTGGCCTTGATACCGGTTGTTGATAAGGTGGGAAAGGCTGTGACCAGCTAACGCAGCACAATCGACAAGGCGGTACAGCAATGCACCGTAACTTAATTCAGACTACTCTGCCCATAACCAACTACTTTTTTGCTTACTAAAATGAAGCATTACATGCAACTATTTACATTATTATTATTATTATTATTATTATTATCACTCAACAGTAGCCAACTCCTTTCAATGGAGATAGCTTACCAGGCTATTGGAAAATTTTTTTGGATAGCTTAGAAAATTTTATACTTTTTTTGGTTTGATTTTATAAGATAAAAGTACCAAACCCAGGAATCGAACCCAGGACAGGACATACAATCTTAAAGCCAGACGTACTACCACCAGGCTATGGGCAGATTACATATTAATTGCAAAACTAACTTATGATGGACCATTTGCTCAATCCTTTTACCATAAAAATAGCGAATAAGTAACAAAAATAATTATAGAGATCATCTGCTATCCAAGATCGGGCGGTTGCATAAACTAAATCAAAAAAAATTTCTGTAGATTCCTTTTCTTTTTAGCTTACACTTTTTCAGTTCAACAATCATCTAATCAAATCACAAATTCGAAAATAATAAAATCTGACATTTTTTATGTCGCATTAATTAGTCAACCGGTTGATATAATGCTGGGGTGGTGGGCATTGTGAGAGGAATTACGAGTACAACTGCTCTTGCAGAACATTCTCCAAGCTGGGGCTTTTTTTCAAGAACTTTTGAGCGACTCAAAAGACAAAGCTTGTGCGATCCTGACCAAGCGTTTGCGTGATTGATGCTCGAAGTAACCTCGAAACAAACTGCATCTCCAATAGATATGTATGTTAAAAAGTGCTTAATGATGGCTCTATCTGTAATTTTATTTTGATTTTCACTTAGCGTTGACTTTTGCAGCTGTCGACTGTCGAGCATCGATGTTATCGGCGACGTACCGACGTTTGCGTACGGTGGATCGTTCTACAGTAGCCGAAGTGTACCGTTTCTAAAATTAGATGAGAACTACGTAATCCACAGTGTGTTCATCTGACCGTTGAGTACAGCAATGTGTGGACACTGTAGAAAACCTCGAAAACGTCATCCTGTCAATTATAGCGTAAGGCGCTTTGTTGTCACACATCCCAGCAAGCTAACAGCAGTAGTAATAACATAGGAGGAGTGAATTTATCCTGCTTTTCCAGCCGTAAACTGTTTCGTGCCACACCTGTTGGGTACTGTTCCACTACGAACTTCTCCACTTTACAGATTTAGTTTTGCACCGCACCAGATTATCGGCTCTGGAAAATGAATTTTACAGACACCAGTTTTTGTAATACATCGGTATCGCAATGGAGCGCATCTTCGGTCTCCCTTGCCGCAGTAAGTGTGGCGACCTTTCTTGTAAATGGTTATGTCTTAACCCTCTACGTTGCACATCCAAAACTACGTACGTCATTCTCCGTGTATCTCATCAACCTTCTGTGCGTCAATATCTTGGTGACCGTTGGCAATCCTTTGCGTATTGTGGAACGAATACAAACATATCGCTGTTTCAGTTCGGAGTTGTGCATGGCCAAGATCTACCTGGAATGGGTAGGTACGGCACTGGTTCTTTATGCACACGGTTTCATTACTGGCAACCGCTTCTGGGCATTAACGTTCCCGTTTAATTATCGCACGTACCACTCTGTAAAAATGGCCGTTCTCATATGTCTATTGTCAATGGGATATTGTCATTTACTTGGGATGCCATAACTGATTAGAGACTTTTTATACTACCGTCCCCCCTTCGGTACCGATCGAACGTGCGATGTCACCTATGAAGCGCAGCCCATTATGGCGCAGTTCTTGGAGATGTGGGTTTATTTGGCGCCGGTTGTTATTATTCTGGCGTTTTATCCATATTTATTTTGGAAACGAAAAGCAACGGCGAGCTTGACCTCAATGCGGTTAGCCGGAATCCTAAAGCAGCGACGGAAAATAGGCGAGCTTTCTTTGTTATGACCGCTTTAACAGGCTGCCTTGTGGTGTGTTGGACACCGGCAAAATTCATGGCATTCTAACAACATTTTTTGACAGTTACTTGCGCACTCTGGCGACAATTGCCAATTTGATGCTTCTGTTGCAACGAGTTATCGATCCAATCATTTTCGTGTTGACTCTGAATGATCTGCGAGCAACTGTCAAATCCAGTTTGTTGTCTTGGATTTCATGACAGTGGATTTCCTAGTTAGGAGTTTCTTTCTCATCGAAATTACCTTGATGGCTCGAATGGTAGAATCTTATTACTTGCAATAAAACTACAATTTGATACAGTATTCCGCTTCATTCCATTTTAATGCTTAAAGCGTAAATAAGTGGGTTTTTTTATACGTGTCCCTTGTTCAAATACTTACGCATGTAAGCGTCAGTGTAATACCGGCACCTGAGGCGTAAAATCTGGTCGTCTTTGTGATGACTCACAA